AATATGTTTAAGTTTAACCTAAAACATTGTATTTATAGCCATTGGCCCATCACAAAAATGCAATATGTACATGCAGCGATATATATGTAAAATGGATTCAAACTGTTTGGCGCACCTTATTGAAATTAATACATTATGGCTGCACAGTAACTTCAAGGGAATCAAGTTAATGTTAGTCTTGGCAAACACATGTCTGCATGCATGGAAATATTCACGCATATACACATACAAAGACAGAGATCCCCCTATAGCCTTAACCGACTGTTGGGGCAAGTGCCGTAGAGCGAGCACCTATGAAGGCCGACACGGCACACGAGGGGGTGGGTGGCCAGCATCACGCCCGGCCGCTTTTGTTTCCCTAGTGGCGATATTTACACACCAAACCAGGTACTCATTTGAGGCGGAGCTGACCTAGGGGAGGCCCATGATCGGTTCAGATGAAGCGTTAATGGTGTTGGCCGTGAGCGGGAATCGAACTCAGGTGGCCGGGCTTGCGTTCATACCGCAGCGCGCTAACCACCACCGCTCCCACACATACACACATACACACGTATACACACATACACACACATACACACATACACACGTACACACATACACACATACACACGTACACACATACACACGTACACACACATACACACATACACACGTACACAAGTACACACACATCCACACGCATACAAGACAAAGATTGCAGCGTATTGCCTTAACACGCCGTCGGAGAAAGCATTGTTTGCGAACACCTATTTTGCGAACACGTGTGTTGGCTGGTGTGGTGGAGCATTGCAGTGGGTTGATAAAGGGCTGTTAAAATTTCCATTGTAGTGGGCGCGTATCAAATGAGCATCTCGGCTTCATGAATTGGAGGCACATTACCGAATGTTGACACAATCTTGCTGAGTATTTGTTTAAGGCTAAGTCCACCTAGGAGAGACCCACACCACGCTTAATTTTGCCAGGAATCGAACTAAGATTTCCGGGATCCCTAGCTAGAATATGACTGGCCACTCTTCTCCACATATACACAAAGACATATATATATAAATGCATACATATATATGCATACACACATTATAATCGTTATGCATACAACACGTACCGTTAGACATTGCGAATAACACATAGTATATATATATTTTTGTCTTCAAGAAAATAAAAAAAATCTCCTGGATTCAACTTGTCCAAGACGCGCACCTAACAACAACCTTACACTACCACCATCATCATCATAATCCTCCTCTGCAGCCACGGGCAAGCCGCTCATGGATTTAATAGCTCCATCTCCCAGGCAGACGTACTGTCGGACGCGTTCCAGTGCTCGGCTGTCTACGCTGTACAATCTCAAAATAAACCACGCACACGACACATTGATATAACAATACTACTACTACGACTACAATCTATCAATACATGTGTGTGTACGTGTACACGTGTGTGTGTTTGTGGGGAGCGGTAATGTAGCGGTAAGCGCGCTGCACCACGAACCTTGGTGACCCGAGTTCGATTCGGGCTCACGGCCAGCATCCGTGACGATTATCTCAACTGGTCCTGGGCATCCCCTAGGTCGACTCAGCCTCTAATGAGTACCTGGTGCGGTGTGTAAAAACATCGCCACTGGGGAGACAAAGGCGGCTGCGCGTGGTGCTTGCCACCCACCCCCTCGTGTGCCATTCTGGCCTTCATAGGTGCTCGCTAACAGCACTTGCCCCAACAGTCCGTTAAGGCTATACGGGGGGTCTGTGTCTTTGTAGGTGCGTCAGTGGTTATATTAGCCGTCATTGTGGCGGCTATGATAACTGCGGTGATGGTGCGTGAAGGAATTTCATGGTACGTGATGATGCACAGGGCAACGCTTCATTTTTATCCGGAACAGGCTGTTATGATGAATGATGTTACCAACGTTGGATTAATATGCATATGCGTGCATTACACTTCTAGTGGTAGTGCCTTACGCCGAGTGTGCCTGTACTCCAAGGCAGCCTAGCAGCGTGATGATTAATGAAGCCCTGATCATAACACAGGTCACTGAGAGCGCCGATGTTGTCCATTGTTTGTGCGTGACGGGGATGGGCAATGACACGGATCTGACGGAACGGGCCACGAGGAGGGAGAAGCACCTCGTCTTCACGACTCATCCAACCTGCCACCCCTTCATCAACCCCCCCATCATCAACCCCACCCCGCGTCTCGCATCAAACTCGAGGGACGAATACAACGGCGATAATAACCGCGAATACCTGGATCCGCGATACGAGCTCATCGCGAGCAGCAGTGGCCTGCGTAAACATTCGTGTTGCGTGTTTTAGAATGCGGCATTGACGGGAAACGAGATCAAAGCCAACGCGGCCAAGGTGCGCGTGTGGGGAGCGGTAGTGTAGCAGGCAGCGCTGCGCTGCGCTACGAACCTGGCGACCCGGGTTCGATTCCCGCTCACGGCCAACACCGGTGGAGATGATCTGAACCGGTCCTGGGCCTCCCCTAGGTCGACTCAGCCTCAAATCAGTACCTGGTTCGGTGTGTAAACATCGCCACTGGGGAGACAAAGGCGGCCGTGCGTGGTGTTGGCAACCTCACCCCCTCGTGTGCCGTGCCGGCCGTCATAGATGCTCGCTAATAGCACTTGCCCCTACATACTATTAAGGCTAAACGGTGGATCTTTGTCTTTGTTTTACAGTGGGAGCGGTGGCGCACTGGTTAGCGCACTGCACTAGGGGCCCGGCGGCCCGAATTCAATTCCGGCTCACGATCAATATCAGTAGACAAAGTTTGAACCGGTCCAGGGCCTCCCATCGGTCGTCGACTTCAAATGAGTAGCTGGTGGGGGTGTGTGAAACATCAGCAGTGGGGAGACAAAGGCGGCCGGGCGTGGTGTTGGCCGCCGACTCCGTGTCGACCTTCAGAGATGCTCGCTAACAGCACTTGCCCCAACAGTCTCTTGAAGGCTATACGGGGTATCTTTGCCCTTGAGATTCATGTTTTACGTAAATATACAAATCCCAGCTATTCTAAATCCGCCAATGGGTTGAAGTCCTCTGCACGCTTTGTCGGTCATGGGGTGGGGTAAGGGGATTTTTGACCATACTTCACCACCCTGGTCAGTGCGGTTTGAAGGTGAGTGGGTGTGGGACGTGGTGGGAGCAGGACCGGTTCTGATATCACTCGCCACTGCTGTTTAACCAGCGGCCGGGAATCGAACTCGCGTCGCAAGGATTAATATCGCAGAGCGTTAATCACTGCAACCAACGCTCCAACCGTGTCTTTATTCGCGTATTTTAAACATTGTAAACATGACTAAAACATTAAATACCTTTCATTTTTTTACATATATTTGTTTAACCGTAAAACAGGTGAGAACCCGTTCGGATTAATGATTTCTTGGTCAATGCAGGCCAGGGACTGAAACAATCGCGGGAGAGAAAATCGCGGAAGAGCATTTGGCAGAACAAACCAACGCAAGGCGAACAGACGGACAGACGTGAAGCCGGATTTAAAGTGTATTCACACGGGATTCTCGCGAACCTGTGTACAAACGAACGCACGTGTTGTTTAATGTATATGCAATTTAAATTAAATCAATAGGCTTGAGTCAATTGATAATTTCTTAATAATTGGAGCTGATTGCCGTACGCTTTGCTCATTTGCAACAGCTAGTTCTGCCTTGCAGTTACAAGAGTAATAGTTTGCTCCCTATTTCTTCACAATCATCATCGTCGTCATTGAGCATCGCAAACTGTATCTGCCCACTGCTGGATGACGTCCTCCCACGCGGTCCAATTCATCTCGCTCTGCGCATCAATTACCGGACCGCTCCGATAGGCAGACGCGCCCCAGAGTAGCGCACCCCCACTGGATATTAAAACATTCTCCACCGCGAACTGTTCGCAACAACAAAAACACAAGAAAGAAAAACCATGCGCACGCAAAGGAATACGTTCATGTTTCCAACACGTGTTTGTCTCTGGGCGCATTGCGAGTATTCCCGTGTACATGTTTGATCTCTACGACGTCTAGGGCAGTGCTTCTTCTTAACCTGGTAGTGCACGCAGCCTCTGGGGGTGCGAGACACCGCCAAATGTTTTTGTTAGAAGGTAAATAATCGAAACACAAAGTAAGCAAGTTACAACTACTTTGTTCCATCGACCCGATGTAATTATTCACATTATACTTTCTTGTTTTGTTTACAATTGCTACAGTAAAGGTTAAGAACCACTCGTCTAAGGTAAGCCCCCAACAGCAGCGCGACTCGTTCATATTGGAGCGTTACTGAGACTCCCCATCGCAGCCGACGCAGGCAGATCGCCAGACGCACGTCGCTACGGGATTCATAAACGCGCTCCTCCTGAATTGGAGACCCGTGACACACGGGACGAGAACGGCGCGTGAACGCGACGGGAACTCTTTCTCTTCACTCTGACCCGATTCGCGTCGATATACCTGCGCGGCGGATAGAGAGAAAGAGAGAGAGGGACAGGGAAGGTGGGAGGTTCAGGACCCTCTGTGCCGGACAGGGCCGCGCTACGAGCCACGGGCCCTGCCACAGGGCGCGTGTTGAGACGCCCGCCTGCCCGCCCGCACCCCGATCGGCCACTGAGAAGACGCGAAGCCCGAGATCTCGACACGTCCGCCCCGAGCCCACCCTCTCCTGCGGCGGCTGAGTGAACGAGGAGGCACCGTGCGGCAGGAGAGAGTTGGAGTGCGGTGGAGAGGATGAGGATGGGGCGGGGAGTGCGAGGAAGGGTGGGTGTGGGAGGTGGTGGGGGGGTCTGGCTGGGGTGGAGAGCCGGAGTGACGTGCTCGGTTCACTACGCCAGTCGCCCAGAGAGAAGTTCGCCTCTTACCCCGCCCGCCCCAACCTCTCTCGCCTCTTCCTCCTCCTCCTCCCTCTCCTCCTCCTCCTCCCTCCCTCCCTCCTCCTGCCGTCAGCTCTCCTTCCCGCCCACCCCCACTCGTCCTCGGAGATCGGATTTACTGCTCCAGCGACAGGACTCGCTATATATCCCGCCCTCGCCGCTCGTTCCCCGCGGCCTCGCTTCCTCGCTCGCAAGGAACCCCCCCCCCCACCCCTCGTCGCAAGCCGCCCGTCCTCGGACGAATGGTGCAGCCACAGCGGCCTTTCATTTCTTGCGAGGGGACGGACGTCTTTGTGTGTGTGTGTTTTTTTTTAAACGCGCGCTCGCGTAAAACATTTAACAGCCGCGACCAAGAAAAAGCATCGATCGGCGAACAGCAGCAACAACAACAACAGCAACAAAAAAGGACGCTTCGAAACGAACGCCGCGAACTCGGGACTCGTGCAGGACGTGCGAGCGCGCCGCTGTGAGAGTTGCGTCAACATGGGTACGTCGCCGTTGATGTCTCGCCGTGGTCGTCGTGGTCGTTGTCGATGTCTCGCCGTCGCATCTCCGTCACAGGCGGCGCCGGGAAGGGGTTCGGTGGCCAAATATTAAGTTGTTATTGTTTTTTGTTTACCGAATTCGAACAACAACAAGAAGAAGTGTCTCTTCTTGTTATTTTGACTGCCGACCTCTTCCCTCCCTTTGCCCGCGTCGCGTTTGTTGCCCTCTCGCCGCCGCCGCCCCGCACCTCCGATGAACACGGCTGGCCACGTACGGCGCGAAAGAAGTTCAGCGCGCGCGCGCGCGCACCAGTCCGCTCAGCCGTGTAGCAACAACATCAACAAGTCGCGTTCCGCATCGCGGACACCGCTCGTACGCGTTAGCCGGCTTCATCCGCAGCTGCTGCTGCTGCCGCTGATAGCGGGGCTCATGCGTTTACCCGCGCGGCTCTGTTGTCAGCGTGACAGTTGTTTGCCGGTCGCCACTGCGGGAGATCGCACGTACGAGACACCAACAAGCCGTGGGACCTGCGTTTACAGGTCGCAGGGAGGTTGGCGCGGGTTGCTTCTTCGACGGCGTTTGCGCCGCCGCCGCTGGGCTGAGTGAAGGGAAAGTGAATGGACCGCAGGGGTTGAGTGAGCGAAGTTTCCGCCGACAGAAAGCGGGCTGCGTAACGCTGGCGCGTCGCGTAATCGTTGAGTGGGAGGCTTTGCAACGGAGCCGTCGCTCGCAACTCTGTGTGTATGTCCCACCATGAGGAGGGTCACTGCGCACATTGGCCACGTACAGGTCTATTGTGCCCGACGTGTCTCTCTTTGCTATCCGTGTACCCGTGCGTGAGAGCGCAACTGCGTGTGCGCGCTGTGTAACACGCTGAGCGGGGTCGAACACACCGGGGTATTCGACGCGCCTCGCTAACCCACACGAGCAGAGAGAGAGAGAGCTGTGATAATCAACATCGACCCTACTCTCTTCACGTCAATGTGGCGAGTCGCGATCTCTCCGTCTCTCTCTCTCTCTCGGGCTCCAACCCTCGCGTCTCGCCACGCGCGCATCCATCCCGCCTCTGTGGGCTGGGACCCTCCACTCACTCACTCGCTCACGAGTTGATCGACACACACCGAATGTGAGAGAGACCACGCGACTTTTTGAAACCCCCCCCCCCCCGTATGGGCTTGCACAGACTGTAGAGGGGGGGGGGTGCTCAGTGCTGTTCGCACGCCACGCGATGGGATGGGGTGAACCGACACCACGCCCGGCCGCCTTTGTCTCCAACGGCGGCGATGTTTAATACACACCGCACTAGAGACCGATTTAAGGCTGAGCCGACCTAGGGGAGGCCCAGGACCAGGTTTCAATATTCGCACATGACTCTGACACGCACACACGTACACACGCACACACGCTCGCGTGTAAATGCGTAACCGCGGGTGGATTGGAACAAAATATCTGTCGCGTCGGTTATAACAATAATGATAATTAGTTGTTTGTCATTATCATGATTATTACGTATTGTTATTGTTGCCATGCTCAACCCCGTTGCTGTTGCCCCCCCCCCCCCCCCGCGTGTCGCCGGGCGTGCGTGTGCCTGCCGCCCCGGGCGCAGACCAGTCCTTCGGCGAGGTCAACCAACTCGGCGGCGTCTTCGTGAACGGGCGACCTCTGCCGAACCCGATCCGCCTGCGAATCGTCGAGTTGGCGCAGCTGGGCATCAGGCCGTGCGACATCTCGCGGCAGCTGCGCGTGTCCCACGGCTGCGTCTCCAAGATCCTGGCTCGCTACAACGAGACGGGCTCCATCCTGCCCGGAGCCATCGGGGGCAGCAAGCCGCGCGTCACCACCCCCAACGTGGTCAAGCACATCCGCGACTACAAGCAGCGCGACCCGGGCATCTTCGCGTGGGAGATCCGCGACCGGCTGCTCGCCGACGGCGTCTGCGACAAGTACAACGTGCCCTCCGTGAGCTCCATCAGCCGCATCCTACGCAACAAGATCGGCAGCATGTCGCAGCCGTGCTCGCAGATGCAGGACGCGTCGGGCATGGCCTCCTGCAAGCAGTCTGCGGCCGCCGCAGCCGCAGCCGCGGCCGCGGTGCCGTACGGAGCTCTGTACGCGGCCTACACGAGCTCGCAGCTGCATCACCACCACCACCATCACCACCACCACCACGGACACGGGCCCGCGGGGAAGGGCGGCGCGCACGCGATGCACGGCGCCACGGGCGTGCACATCCCCGCGGGGCTGCCGCGTTCGTGGCCCTCCTCCTACACCGTGAGCGACATCCTGGGCTTCAGGACGGCGGCGGAGCAGCAAGGTGAGAGGCCGGTGGCGGTAGTGGAAAGTTGTGGTGGTGGTGGTGGTGATGGTGGTGGTGGTAGCGGTGGTGGTGGTGGTGATGGTGGTGGTTGGTGCTCGTGGTAACGGCGACGACGATAATGATTGCGGTGGTTGTGGTCGTGGTAGTGAAAGCGGTGGTCGTGGCGGTAATGCTGGTGGCAATTTTATTGATGTCGGTGGTGGTTGTAATGATGATGATGGTGGTGGTGGTGGTGCTTTATGAAGGTGATAATGGTGATTGTGGTCGTGATAGTAGCGGTGTTGGTGATCAGTGAATGCGGTAATGGTGACGGAGTGATGATGATGATGATGGCGATAGTCGTGTTTTCCGTCCATCAAAGCGCTTTCTTTACCAAGTGAGAGCCCGCTCGGCAGTGAGAGCGGAACAGCGGTTTCGTGCATCCGTCCACACTAAGAACTCTCGATGGCTGTAGCAAGATTTGTGCTTTATTCAACAGATCTCTGCGCCAAGTTGTTTACGTACTTCCTCCGTTAGTATCATCCGTCAGTGTATATATGTGTGTGTCTATAGACCATGCTGCACGAACATAACTTGCCCCAAAGAGTATGTTAAGGCAATGCGGGGGGATATGTTTTGTAGATTATTCACACGCACACACGCGCGCGTCGCGTTCGCGAACTGCGTAATAAACCAGCGTCCCGCGTTCGATTCCCGCTCACGACCATCAAGTGGCGAACGGAACCTTGAACCGGTCCTGGGCCTCCCCTATGTCGACTCAACCTTAAACGAGTACCTGGTGCGGTGTGCCGTGCGTGGCTTTCATGGGTGAAGCTGCTCACTGACAGCACATTCCCCCAACAGTCTGTTCAGGCTATAGGGGTGGCGCGGGAGGGGTTTTATTTTGTACTATAAGACTAGAGCACCCGTTAATGTATCCCGCGTCCGTCATACCCAAGACGAAGACTGCAACATTTCAGGAGATGTCTCGTGGCAAAACGTCCAACCCACGTACAGAAGATTGTACGCGAGCCATACATTTATAACTGTATTTCAAAGCCACACGCCCGGTCGTAGCTCGCTCCGCCATGTGTTTTTGTTGTTGTGGTTGCTGTTGTTCGGGCAGTGTTTTTTTGTTCGGCACGATGTCCGACGTTTCGCTCCACGCGCTGCGAATGTTTCTTCGCCAGCTCAATATCCAGTTCAAACGGCACAACCGCGGAAACGTACGTGGTAGTCAAGCTGTAGGCGAGACAGATGGCTCGTTCTCTTGCCGCTCGGATAGTTACACTGCTACGTGATTTTGGCTAAACCTTTAGTCTTTTGAACGTTCCTAACTTTGACCTGTTTACATTTTTTTGTGCTTTAACGATTGCTGGATTCGTGTAACCTCGGCCTCCCTTGTACAGTATAACCGCACTCTCCTGCTCACCCGAATCCCCAAACCAAGTTGGTGATTGTTGCTGCTCTAACCTGTCGGACCTAACGTAGCAGATTCAAATCCACGTCTCACGCGTCAAAGCAGAGAGAGAGAGACCGCGAGAGAGACAGAGAGCGGAGCGAGCAGCAGATGTGCGACTGCCCTAATTGTTGTCCAATTTGTCCGCGGACGGACCGACCGAGGCCCGATTTGATATTTGAGTGACGTGGAGAGAGAGAGAGAGAGAGCGCTGCCGAGGTTGGGCCCGCACGCCTCGGGTTGCCTGGCTCTGGGGCCAAGGAAGTGCGTCGTCGTTAAAGCGTTGCGCTGAGATCTATCTTCGCGTTCCACCACCACCACCCACACCACCACCCACACCACCACCCCCCAACAAAGGGCACCGATGAAGGTGGTCAAGGAATTCCGAGAGCTTCGTCAGACGAAAGGGGAACACGCAACCTCTTACATAGACAGCGCTTGGACAAGTGGTGACGATCTGGCTTCGTGCAGGAAGTGGCTCTTGCGTTGTTGTTGTTGTTTCGTGAATGGATGGAGCGTTGGCGAGGGTTATTAACTGCGTTTTGTGCGTTTCGTTTGTTACCCCCCCCACCTACGCACGATTGTCTGCGTACGGTGCGAAAGACGTTCAACATACATACGTACATAAACAACGCTAAGCGCTGTTGCTATTAGACCCAGCGTCCCTGAGTTCGACTCCAAACCACGGCTCACACCAGTATCGAGTAATGTCTGAACCGATTATGCCCCCACCCTCGCTCCACCTCCCCCCTAATCATCAACCCGCATTGACCAGCGTGGTGAAGTATGATGCTCATATAATAGCCATGACCGTGAATTGGCCTTCATATAGCCGTGGATTGATAACGACCGTAGCTTCTTTCCTATGTTGTTGTGTGATTTAGTCGAATATTACTCATACATATACGGATGTTCTTATAATGTGGACTCTATCCTAGTGTGTGTTATAGTGATTAGACTACCCGTTGCCATTCACAAATCGATAATGAAATCGTGCACTTTGAATTTCATTTGCGTGTTTCAATTAATTTGAACGAATTCGTTGGCGGAAATAGACGCATATTTACATTGCAACAAAATTTATAAATACACCGTAAGATTACTGCGTATATATATACATACGTATTCGCGGTTGTGAAATGTTATTGATCGTGGTGCAGACATGACATGCGGTAACCTTACTCCCGTTCTGCACGCGTGCTCCCCGAGTTCCCCCGGGTCTCCTGCCATAGCTAAACCCTACACCCACAGTGGAACTGCTTTTGAGTCAAAAAAGGCGCATCCCCAGTGCTGAAACATGCCCTGCGACATCGCAGACCTGCGACCACGCAGGGTAGCAGCGGTTAAGAGCCGTAACATCGCTCCCCTCGTACGAAACCTTGGCAGGATCCACTTGCAAAACGAGTCTTGAACCTTGCCGAGACGTTCTTGGGTATACAAGCAAATAAATGAATGACACTACACAAATGAATTATTCGACATTATAAATATGTAGTTTTCGGGCTGTACCGCGTGTCGCTGGGCGTGTGCGCGGTCCGACGTTTCGCTCTGCGTGCCGCGCGAGCCTCGTTCGCGTTCTTCCTCGGCAACTTGAGAACGAAACGTCGGACAGCAACACAGGCGCGCAGCGCCAATGCAGGATGACTGTGGACGCGACTTACGATTCGCGTTCCGCACGAGACGACTCCCGCCGTGTATGAGACCATCGCCTGCACTCGAGTTGGTAAAGCGGTGTTCACCAAAAGCCGCGTCTGTCGTTTAGGCCTCCGACCGTTGCGTAACGTAATGCGAGTCAGGGCTCCGTACACTTTTGGTTCTTTCGGTAAAGTCACGTCGGTAGAATTGAAATAAAACAAATCACGACGTTTACGATCGCAACACAAGCAATCCTCATCAAATCAGCATAGAGTCAGGGCGTTGCGAAATACGATCCGACACTCGTTCCAATCGATAAACCTGAACCGAGACTCGCTGTTGGTAACGCGACCTATGCAACCGTGATTGTAAATGTAAGATCTGTAGTGCACGGAAACATCCGTACCGTCGGAGGACGCCTACGACGTTTCATAGTCAATAACAGCTCGCTGGGACCTTCCTGTTGAAATAAATACAATTAAAAATCGAAGTGAGCCATTTATAGATACCCCACTTAAATTGTAGTGAAACATCGTATCGAAGAAAACATTTGTTACGTCAAAGCATCTACGCGTCTCCCACCGACCTCGATCGGCTTGCATCTCGCCAGCTCTCTCCTCCGTAGCATGCGGAGCCATCGCGCTTTCACGAAATCCGATCAGCTGTTGAGAAGAATGGAAGGGGTTGGTTCGAACAGAGTGGCGTATCTGCATGTGGATCGGCGTGTACATTTTCGTGCCCCTGGCTTTACCGTACAGCAGCGTACGTCTGTTCACCTTCTATCGCACTCGCACGCAGCTAGCCATGCTCATCGGAGGTGCGGTACGCGCGCGTATTTCCCCGGATGATAAATTGTAAATTAACAGCCCTCTGTTCATCTACTGCTGAATGAAAGCCGAAACCACGCCGCGCGTCGGTCGTGCCGGGCGGAGGGGATGGGGGTGGGTCGGTAGTTTGACCATACTTCACCACGCTGGTCAGTGCGATAGGTCGGTGAAGTGAGGTGCAGGGGGGTGGCAGGACAGGTTCAGACGCCGCTGGTGGTAATCGCGGCCGGGAATCTAACGAGGGCAGGTTTGGTTCAAAGCGCGAGTGCGCTAACCATTTTACCATCGATCACTACCCCCACCCTTACCGCGCAGTGCGTTGTAAGAAAGGAAAATTGGCCATCCACTAATGTTTGCCACAATTAGCAACCCCCCACAGCCTCCACGGCAGAACAACTCAATGCATACGTCCACTCTTGTTCCGCGCTTAAGGGCCGTCGCCTGAAACGTTAGTACACCATATTAGAAACGTTCGTCTACGAAGGCACTGTTCATAATCGAGGTGGTGATATTTGTTGTCGGTATTACCATCATTATTACAGCAACACGCGCGACTAGAGACGGCCCTTACAGCTCGCCGCTCTATGAGTCCGCTTTTGGACGAGAGTCACAGGCTCGATTCCTAGTGCACGTTGGAGCGCTGCGTGGAACGAACGAAGCGCACCACCTTGAATCGATCGCGAGAAGAAACGTTAAAGACTAGAGTTGTATTGCAGCTCAGTGATTGGGCCGCTGCGTCAGCGTGGCTGCCGAGTACGCAGACGGTGCAACTGCACCCGGGGGGCACAAAGACCCAGGGCCCTTGCGACCTGAGTACACTGGCACACGACTCCGAACGCCTGGCAGCAGCATTCGCCGGATAGACTCTTCGTGTCTCCTGCACGTGCTCTCCGCGTGGTTAAATGAAGGATGTTCAGGATGTAGGCTTGATTGCGGACGCACGACGCACACGCCCAGCGCAGCGAAACGTTCTCACCGCGTTCATTCACCGCTCATCGACAGCCTCCGTGAACTCGCCCCTACCACTACACCTCTCTTCTCTACGCGCTCTCCTACCTATCCCCTGTCATCTCACTCTACTCCCCTCCACGCACTCT